TTAGATTGCATCTCTATATCAATATCTTTTTTTTAAATCTCAATACACCCGTAATCTATCTATAGAGATGAAAGCATGCAATTCTGATTAACTGGCTTAAGATTAAGAAAAAAATGTATGCAACAAAGAATAGGCACACCACGCATCGATATTCAAAAATAGCATAAGCTGCACTGTATAGAAAGGTCTAGTCACTTTAACTTAAAGCTTTTGAACCCTGCAGGTATCATCACACTGTAATACAAAACGTAGCAATCTTCTAAAGTGTCTACTTGTGTGCTTTTTTTTCTTCTTCTTTTCTTCAAGTTTTCAGGTGTTTTGACGTGATTTTAAATTATTCACTATCATTTTTTTTGCTTTGTGTGAAAACTTATTTCCCTTCAATCTTTTTTTTTCCACTGTTGACAATAAAACTATAAGTGGAAATAGATCAAGTGTTTTGTATGTTGAGTCTTCTTTTGTGTGTGTGTGCGTGTGTGTGTGTAGGGTTGTATGACATTTAAACTGGTTGACTACTGAATGCTCTGGTTCCCATAGACTTACTACAGGCTTTGGGTTAATAATATACAGTCAAACCTGCTTTAGTGACCACCTGTCTACAAAGACCACATTTTGTGTATCCCTTGAAAATGGTTTCTCATTGAAACACATACTAAAGAAAACAGTACATAAAGACCACCTGCCTATAAAGACCACTTTTCTTGTCTTCCTTAGGGGGTCTTTGTAGACAGGTTTCACTGTACCATACATGGCACATATCACAACAGTATCTCTATGCGCTCTAATTGGGAGAAGAAAAGAAAATGGAAAATAGAGAAGAGTGAGATGCACTAAGCATACTTCCTTCATGTCATTAATTAACATCGGGAAATGTTTCTAAGAAGATATTAAGATGCATACATGCCAACTGTTCAGATTAAAGAGGAACATTCCTCTTTTTGGGAGAAGATAATTATCATTTTAATGCAGGTGTTCCTCTTCCTGTACAAATTTGTCTGTAGTATTGAATAGGAGAGTTAGGATTGTTCCTCTTTTTTTTTTTAAATAGCATAATTTGTACAGATTTCTGATTTTCAAATGTTGGCATGTATGAAGATGTTTCATTAGGTGAAGGCATTACTTAACTTCTTCAAAAAGTTGTCTACCATTAAACCATTGTTCTATAGTATTTTCTCTGTGCATTGTTGATGAGAGAGGTAGAGATGGAAAGATAAAAGATAGATAAAGATGAGAGAGAGAGAGAGAGAGAGAGAGAGAGAGAGAGAGAGATGGTGGAGAAGGAGAGAGAGAGAGAGGTAGGGGGAAAAGGTACTAGAGTGTTCATTAATAAAGAAAGGAGTGAAGAGAGAGTTGGGAGGGGGATGATTGAATGTTAAATATGGAAATCAGCCCATTGACTACTAAATTCTCTTAATCCCATTGGCTTAATACAGTTCCAGTTCCAGTGGGCAAAAGCTTAATGCAGCAATTCCAGAGTCGATTGTACTGACCCAGTATTTTGTTTCATAGAATAGGGGAAAGCACATGCATGCAAATGCACCTGTTTCAAGAGGTTTTTGGGAATATACCATTTATTTTGTAATGTAATCAAATGTAATCAAATGTAATGCACAAATCTTTGTTTGGTGCCTCGATTCATATTATTTCATTCACCTGTTACAAATTATTAATTTATTTCATTAGAATTTGAATTGCATACATTATTCTTGCTGGGTAGGACAAACATTATGGCTCGTCTTACCCATCGAAACGTAATGTATGCAATTCGCAATCTGACTATTGAAATACAGTTATTTTATAACAGGTGAATGAAATTATTTGTAACCAGGCACTTAACAAATATTTATGCATTGAATTTGGTTACATTATGAAAATGGCCTATTATATCTTGGACAAAAATTGTCTACAAATAATTTAAAGGCTACATGGATTGATTATACTGGTACTGCATGAAGACAGAGTCTCGGAGACCTCCTCACACTGACTGTTTGGCAGAAATGCTTCAACTGCGCTGCTTTGAATGCTGCAAACCAGTCATTGGGGGGGGGGGGGCAGATAATCTGAGCTTTGAAATTATCTTGGGAGTGAAGAGCATTGACTTTAATTGACTTTGTTATAGGTAAGTGATCTGAAGAAGTCGCAATTTCATTTCATCCTTTTGAAAAGACGATTTAAAAACAGATGCAATCTGCGCATGAGCATATAAAGATAATTTGTACCTGATTGTGAAACCCGCTGAGACAAACACTGTATACAAAGTCACATTATCATTTATTCTATGTGCACAAATGCTTTCCATAATAAACCAGTGACATGCATTTGGATGCAAAATTTGATAATTACATAACTGTCAGGAGCACATATTAACCCCCCCCCCCCCTTGCCATTTTAGCCAATAGTGATGATTTTCAACATTTTCCAAAAAAAGATGTACCTTTTCCTTTCACAAACAACAAATGCACTCACAGACTGAAATATCCAAATCTTTCATGCATTTTTTTTAGTTGCTGGCATTGTAAAGGGAAATAAAATCTTTTTGATTACTTCATTTGTATGAAAGCAGGAAAATATGAGAAACAGAATAACAAAAGTTTGAAATAAATTTGACCAATATCATAAGAAAGTTATGAATGTTAGAAATATGAAATCGCATGAATTTGACATTTTGGTAGGTGGATTGTGACAAAGTCACAGACTACTCTCCCGTTTGTCCTGTTCAAATCCCTCGGAATACTAATTAAAATATATTACAGCGAGAAGACCCTCCTGGGTCAAACATTTTGAAATATTGAAATTTTAGTCATTTTGTTGGAAGAAACAAATGTGAAAGTTATCTGGCACTACGTCACAGTGACCTTACCGATTATGCCAGGAATGATGACAATTATGTTAATTATATATAAGATTTAGTTGCATGATGCAAACTATTTTTAAAATAAGATCACTTAATATCAGAAATGTTGTTTGTGCATGAACTTTTACAATTTTTAGATGGCCTGTTATGTCAGGACAGGGTTTAATGTCGAAATCTATGAGAGAAAATGAGACCAAAATCAACATTTGCGAGAAGTTGCAAAGGGACGTGATGCGGTCTATAGATGCATCCCACTAATAGATGTAGAAGGATGCACTATCAAGGTAAGCTGTATATCATATTGATACTTTCAACCAAGTTAAACTATTGACACTAAGCGATTGACCCAACAGAAAAACAATGATATCCTTACGGGTATGCCTATATCTTAATTGACTAATTAGTTCTGAAACTGACTGTATGTGATTGAATTTTTGGAAGTGGGCATTTTTCCTTTCAATATTTTGTTGCGAGACATCATAATGTGGACAGGATAAGATCAGAGGTTTATCCATATGCAGTGGTATAGCCCCCCAGATATAGACAGAGAGAGAAAAAAAGAACTGTAGAACGGAAAATGAGGCCCTTCCTCACATGCTCGATCTTCGTTCCATTTACGGCGTAAGGCCTAGCTCATAATGTACCCATTTTTACACACAATAGGGTCATAGTTTGTGGAAAATATTCTTGGAAATATGCAAATAGGGGGTCATTTTGACTACGCTCATGATCATACATTACCAGTATACCTTTGACTATGAAGTGATACCATAAGACTTATGTCACTTCTCCAATCTTTCACTCTTACTTTAACCCACACCTCCTCTTTCTATCCTCTCTCTAGACAGACCACTGATGAAGAACGTATCACATTTAGTACAGGTGTTGTATTTCAATCCCATAGTAAACCCACTCCTAAAAGCCATCGACACCTTCAAATCACACACAAAATCATTTTTTAGTGACAAACTTTTTTGACAGTAAATTCATATCTCTTTGTAGAAACTTTTAAACAGTTCACCGATATCAAAATTTTCAAACCAAGTCAACTTGAATCTGCACTTGTGATTTGATTAATATATACTAAGATAAATGAAAAATATAAAAATGCAATCTAAGTTTTTTATTTTATCGTCTTTATTATAATGATAACAGTCAAATTTTTACAGGTCTTATACAACATTTTTTACCCGGCATTGTATTCCATTGCTAATTCCTACATGATAGTGCACACACTCCACTCACTGAGGATTATTCTTTACATATATTTGTAACATGATTTGCTGATAAAAATATCTATACACATGTAAGGTCAACAAGGTAACATAATGATTATACTGTCTTGAAAACAAAGCTCTATGAAATGTTTCTTTCTTTTGGTTCAAAGTTTACAGGTACTGTAGCATCCTGGAACATGCAGACATATTGATCCATTCAACACATTATAGTTCAAAAGGAGTATCAATAAAATATTTTGGAGTATTTGTTTGTTTGTTTTATCTGACAGCTACATGCTTGTAACTAAGCAACCAGGGGATCAACGGCTTTAAGTCCTCTCTTTTGATATACCCATCATGTAATTTTTATTCAATTTTTATTTCTTACACCTTGACTTTTTTTTATATCTACATGGAATTTCCACACGTACATGAAAATTGAAGTAATCTTTTGTATGAACACCAGAACAGCTTTTCAAAGATTTGTCAAACCTAGCAACAGCTGACATATACAGAATGGTGATTAACAAAAATAATTGAGTAGAAAGGTTGAATGAAATGTTTTAGCACGAGTTGACTTTTTAAAAGTATTATGTGCTGCATTACAAAATACTCACTTTCATTATCTGGTTTACAAAGGAGAGTTGATGGAGAACTATCTATCAAAATGATTTGTGGTGAAAACATCTCTTGGGAATTAACATGGTTCATTCTCATTCACTACTAATAGAACCAATATCTACATACAGGCAATCAAGAGGCTTGGTGGGGGAAGAGAGGACACCAATTGGTATACTAGTAAAACATACTGAACCATCAAGAATGAAAATAATTCATCCTCCATTGATGGAACACCCTGTACCCATATGCAGGCACTAAGGAGGCTTGGTGGAGGTAGGGATGTCACTGGTATAAAAGTAAAACGAGAAGGGTAGATTGGGGTAAAGAGGACACTGGTATACTAGTAAAACGTGCTGAACCATCAAGAATCATAACAAATCCTCCTCCTCCTCCATTGATGGAACACCCTGTACCCATATGCAGGCACTAAGGAGGCTGGGTGGGGGTAGGGATGTCACTGGTATACTACTGAATCGCACCACACCCTCATGGATGACTTGTAGCTCTCTCTGAAGTGCTGTAGGGGAAGTAAAGGGGAATAAATGGGAAAAAATACATATTTATCATAACAATTATTTTGAATGTAGAAAAAGTAATCAAAACTTTAGTCACTACTGGGATTTCTGCAAGAGCATTTTTTAATGGAGTTTTAGTTATTTTACATTCCTCCCTCTCACATGTAGACGGCGCAGTTGATAATGCAGTACCCCGATTCGATGAAGAAAGAAAAGGACAATATAATCTTTCTTCAAAGTACAATCCCATTCTACCACATTGTTGAACTGCATCAGCAACAGCACCAGCTACAACCAGGGCTGACAAAACTTGCAGCACAGCAAGTGAAAGCTTACCGAAACAGGTAATTTTCCACTGATTGTGAAGAAAGAACTCGTTTTCAAGTGAGGAGACTTTACCTGCATTGAGCTGCATCTGTGGAATCAAAGTCTGGCTATGGAAGACCTTGTAGGACAGGACATCACTGGTTTCCTTGCTGTGGTCCTTCAAGGCTCCAGCAACGGATGAGCACAGTCTCTGAACTACAGTCTGAAGATGAAGCTCTTTGGTAGTGGCTGAGGGGTCTGGAATTCGGAAGAATAATTAATTAATTTTTGTTAAAGCTTGCCATTTAATCGAGGCAAATCAGCCTCATTGTCGGGTTTACATCTGAATTCCAACGTAATTTATTCAGTACTATTACCTGCAAATTTCAACCGAGATTCCAACAAATCAGTTCACAGAATCATTGGGCAGCCAATTTGCCTGATTTTAGATTCACTTTTGTAAAATTTAATCTTAAAATGCATCTGTTCAGCCACACTTACACATATTCATGGAAAAACCTGATTTTGTATCGAGGCAGTTAACATGTCTTGGTTACCCAATTTCTAGATTGTGTATGAATATTGTCATTACTGCTCTCATCATAGGAATAAAGCCAGTCATGAATTTGTACTTTATACATGGGTCATGGTAACTTACCTACTGTAGCCATGATGGCCATTGCTCCCGACTGTTTACACCATGCCGTCTCTATCTCCACGGAAACACCATCTCCAATCGAATCGGTCTTCTCATCTGTAGAATGAAAAGGAGGTAGTTATTTCAGCATTTTGCCTCATTAAGGATGACTAAACCAAGTTTGGAGTTTAATAATAGGCATCACAAATGACCCAAATGTTGTGTTTTGGTGGATGGATCAATAAACTAGAAAACAATGTTTTATTACCAAAATGTAGCAATTAATAAACGAAAAATATTGTTGTTGTCAATTTGAAGAACACTATGTGACAAATTTAGCCCTTAAAATAAATTCTGTCCTGAAAGTGTTAAGACATACAAGGAAAAAACCACTGCCATGGTTTCCCACACAATGTGTTGACTTACATTGCCATGACCGTCTATTTGTGTCGGCTACCACATGCCACTCCACACACCCTCCCTTGGGTAAGCTGGGAACAACCACGTAGTTCATCAGGCAAGGAATGCTGGGATACTCGTTGGAAACCAAATCTTCCAACTTCAAAAACAAGAAAACGGAAAAGAATAAAAACGGGATTGTATTCAAATGTCATGATTATTAATAGCAGGGAAAGAATTACACTGATAAAAATGTCTTCCTTTCAATTTTTACACAATTTTTATGCGAATTTACAATTCGTATTCAATTTAAGAATACAAATTTATGTTTGCACTGTGCACATTCCTCCATGTTTATTTCAACTTGCCAGTTTTCTGGGTCATGCTGGCCTTTTGGAAATTTGTCAGCTCAGGTAAGCTAAAATAGAATGCAGTAAAAATTTATTTCCATACTTGCCATATCTGTTTGACCAAGTCACTAATAAAATAGAAACTTAGAGACACCCACCTGTTGCTTTTCTTCTCTAAGTGCTTGGTCCCATTGTCTCCTTGCAGTGACCTCTAACCCCGGCTTGGTGACATAACATGTTGCCATGACAACGTGGTTCAGTCCCATCCCAGGATGCATTGCAGCTAGAATCCTGGCCACGCTACGCAGCGAGAGTCTGGACTCGGCATTGATACCACCCTCTATGATGGTCATGTTGCTAGGGCAGAGGGCTATTGATCCAGCGCAGAATACAAGGCTGCCAATCTGAGAATGATGATAATTAACATAAGTCAAAAGTGCTGCCTCACACCTGATAGGTTTTCAAAAATGGTGCCAGGAGTCAAATTAGTTATTTTTTCTGATAGATATATCAAAGAAAAAAACTTTATTTACTGCACAATGACTGCTCATGACCTTACCTGTACTGCCTGGCTGTAAGGTCCCACATTAGCAGGTGCCCAATGTGACAGACCCTGGACGTGCATGGTGGTCCTGTAATGGGCGGGGTCCCTCTCTATGTCACCCCTGCCCTCCTCTGCCCCTGGGGTGGGGGTGGGGGTGTGGTGATCTTACCTGTACTGCCTGGCTGTAAGGTCCCACATTAGCAGGGGCCCAATGTGAGAGGCCCTGGACGTGCATGGTGGTCCTGTAATGGGCGGGGTCCTTCTCTATGTCACCCCCTCCCCCTCAGCCCTTGGGGCGGAGTAGGGGTGTGGTGATCTTACCTGTACTGCTTGGCTGTAAGGTCCCACATTAGCAGGTGCCCAATGTGAGAGGCCCTGGACGTGCATGGTCGTCCTGTAATGGGCGGGGTCCCTATCTATGTCACCCCCTCCCTCCTCAGCCCCTGGGGTGGGGGTGTGATGGGCTAGACAGTCCAGCTGCAGGGCCGTGCCTTCTGGCAAGTCGGCCTGGACACATACACTGAGAATTGAGAAAATATAGAAAGAAGGAGAAAAGGAAAAAAACTCTTAAGCTTTTTTGCAGGATGGGCAAACTTTTCTTCATAATTGAAACTGAAGGTGAAGAGAGTACTGTAGATTTTATTGGCAAAAAAGTGCGACATATTCTTTGAACTCTTATACTTGGGAGATTGTGAAGTTATATTCCTGAAAATGATTTGCTAACTGAAAAAGAAATATGAAAGAAATAAATATGGTTCACAGCCACTAGAACTAAGGAAATTTGAAGCTGAATTAACTTATATGAACATGAGATATCAAGATTAGCCTTTCAACAATGAATGAAGGCACAATGCAAATAAATCATCAAGAGAATGGGTTTAAAAAACCTCTTAGATAAGCCAGCTCATAGATACAATCTGCGCATGGGCAGATAAAGGTCATTAGTACCAAAATTGTAAGGCCCACCATGACGAATACTGATTACGTGCTCATGAAAGTTATGTAATCATTATTCATTTATGCACCAACGGTACATTCTATGGAACACAGGTGAAGTGTTCTTCTCAAGGGGGTAATGAAAAGGTATTTATGAAGCACATCCATGACTTTGGCAGTGATTATTCTAAAATGTGGGACTACTCTATTAGGATCTGTGGATATTTGATGTTCGATGATGTTTGATGATGTTTGATAATTGTTTTACTTGACTGCTGAGAAGGCATGTATACGCATGTAATAAAGCACCCCGGGGACTGACAGCTTTAAGCCCTCTCCAAGGGACTTGGCAATGAGAATTAATGCCTTACCAAAAGGCACAAGCGCATGGACTTGGTGTTCTAACCCAGGATCTCGCAATTATGAGACCACTGCGCTACCACTGAGCCATTGTGCCTCCTCGTTTTGGGCCATTTGTTAATGACAAACTGGTATTTTACAGTAATCTCTTAAAGCCCCTCTGCACTAATTTGGCCAGGAGGGATTAGACCTCCCTGCATGATCACTGACAGGTGGTTATCTCAACAAATCAGCTCTCAATTAACATAAGAAAAAGGGGATCATGGGGGACCAACGGGTACTGCTTAGGCATTGTTTGCTATATAGAGGGCGCAAGTAGCTACAAGTAGTACAGTCCTGCTTTAAAAGACCATACTTACCGTGCTGGTGGATTGAGTTTGAAGTACTGGCAGTAGACAGAGTTGACGGATGCAAAATCTGACATGTTCCTCACATAAAGGTGTATGAGAACAGCGTCCTTCAGGGAATAGCCATTGCTCTTGAGTTGTTCTGTCAATTTGGAAGCAATAATTTTTTACTCTTTTATTCATTTATTCATTTTTTTAAACTTCATTAAAATATAGATATAGGTAAAAAAAATAAAAAGGAAAGATTTGTCGGGGCATCAACCTTTTAAGAACAATTGACTAACATATCTAAAATCAACAATGAAGACATTAGTCAATTAATCATATAGACAATGGGTATGAAAAACATAATGTGTATAATCTGACAAGAACACTGATGAAATTCTGAAGAAAAGGACAACCTTTTTGTAATCAACATGACTTAATGGTGGGGGGGGGGGGGGGGGGGGAGGGGATCACAAGTACAACTAACTTTGTCATGACTCGTATATCAGGAGAAAAAAAGTTAAATTCATGTACAGGCCAATAGAAAAGTGCCTCAACAAGTCAATCACAGAGAGAAAGGACAAGAAAATACAAACATCAAACATTCAATTTTTAATAGGAAGATGGATTGAAGGAATAGATATATCTTGTAGAGGTGTCCTGGTCTAGCGGGTACGTCACCAGACTGTGGATCACATGGTTCACGGTGCGAGTCCCATTGAGAGACTAATGTCCTTTGGCAAGACATTAATCTACATTTGTCACTCTCCACCCAGGTGATGTAAATGGGTACCCAGTAGGAAGAAATTCCTCAAATACCAGAGCACCTTATCAGGGTAGCTTGGCTAATGCCGGGGTAAAAAAAGTGCAGTGCTTTATAGACACATTAGTATTAAGCGCTATATAAATGTTATTATATATTTTTGATCAATGAAATCCTATTCAGTGATTGGTCAACATAGCATCATGTTACCGATAAGAAAAATGTGCTTTACCGTGATGTCATCCATGGTATAGTGCAGTATACCATGGATGCGGTCGCTGCTCTCACTGCACTCTACACTACTTCGGTGACAGTATACATTATTGTTATTATTATTATTTTTATGAAGGTTGGTTTGAAAATTATAAAACAAATATATCATGGATTCCTCGGCGACAGAAATAGTGCTATTCCTGCCATCTCGATCCATAATTTCAACTAGAGCCTCTCAGTGCATGGTATATTTGTTTACTATTATTATCATATCTTTACCATTGAGTGTCTCCATAGCAACCTGAGTGCTTAGTAGGATAGAGGAGGTGCTATACTCCGCCTTGCAGGTTGCTCTTACTCCATATACCCAGGCAAAACCCTGGTTACTGCACTGGCAAGAGGGCGACAAACGGCCCTTCTGATCTGCAAAAGATATATTGATATCAGTAAATATATCATAGAAATTGATAATCGATGATTGTTTTACCTCACTACTAAGAATATGCTTGTAAGTAAACAAACAGGAGACTGACGACTTTAATTCCTCTCCTTATCAAAGGACATGAGCGCATTGATTTGGTTTTAAACTCAGGACCTCCCAGTTATGAGACCACTGCTCTGCTACTGAGCCATCATGCCTCCTTTGCTTTTAATGTTCTGTGGTTGGAATTGATTGAATGATGAATTGAAAAGAGTGCATATTTTTTAAAGTGTGATCCACAAAAAACATTATCCCTTTATTTGCCATTTTATCAAAACAAATAGTTAGCAACAATAACAGGATAAGCCCATTGGTATAGGAATGCAGCTTTCAATCGCCCATTTTCGATCTTCATATGAATTTATAAACTAATGTTAGATCACAATTTTGCAGTATCATAATGCAGAAACTCTTAAACTTAGTGAAAATTGTTCACATTAATGATAATAAATTGGCCCAGTCTTGCTAAAAAATCATATGCACTGTAAAAAAAAATGTGTCAGGTCCACAACTTTTACCTGTTGCTTGTCATATTTTGAATATGAGAGTACTTGAAGAACTTTTCAGGGGACATTTCTATGATACTGTTCCACACTAAAATAGAAAGAATGAATTACAAATTACTTTTCACTTTCCCAGAAAATAAGATTTTACTTTGCTTTTATGCAATATTGAAAGGGAAATATTTGTTATTCTTTTATATTTGTGTTCTACGTTCATTCAGCTATTCATTGATATAAAGTTGTATTTTCATCGGATATTGGCGAAAATTGGCGAATATCATCTAACAACGATGGAAAATGCCATTAAAACCAACAACAACAAGGATATGGTCTTTAACTTAATGACCTACTGTCAACTGCAGGACATAGGATGTCTGGACGATCATTTCTGGTGCTACTTGAGGGAGATGGTGTCAGATCTTTGATCATTAATTCTCTATGCAGGCTCCTTCCTCTTTTCATCTTCAGGTCCTGTATTCTCTCGGCAAAAGTCTTTGCTTCCAACCCCTATTGGAAGAACAAGATGACGAATCTTTCTCGACTGATACAATTGATTGGTTCGCTCACTTTAAACACAAAAAATTTCAAGTTGTATGGCAGTTGAATAAATGAAAATTATTTTCAAGCAGTTAAGGTATTTGTGTAGATAACTTTGATGTATCCTCTACCACATGTGTGGAATCAAATTCATGTACATTCTCATATTCAAATCCCATTTCACTCTTATATGCCACACAGATAATCTCCCTGTGCCACATTGTATCTATCATGGGATAAATATACCAAAGGCTTCAAGATTATTTAAACTATTTCCAGGGCAAGATTAATTTTCCACCGGTGTTAATAGGGTGGTCATGGAGCTAATCAAGACCGGAAGTTGATAATTTTGCAAAGCCATTGTGTCCTTCTGTCAATAAGTGCATATTGTTTTGTGCAAAACTGCATGTGTGGCAAACAAGCCACTGTGCACAGAGGCGAAGAAGGCAACCGAAGAGTTAAAGATGATTCTTATTGATAATATGTTACATAAAAAGACATACCGTATCTTTATCAGCGAGATGCATCTTCCCAAAGTGGATGTAGAAAACTGGTGCCACATCATCGTCATCATCTTTTACCACATCGTAGGAATCACTAAACAAATGAGAATCAAATGTTTGTAAATCAATAACTTTATATCAAAAAATGGTTTAATCAACGAGGAAAATAAAATAGACATACACCTGTACTGCTCTTTCTATTCTAATACACCAAATCTTCCAAGTTGCATTTTCCAAACTCCAAACTAAAGCATTTTATCATATTTGAGTTAAAATGCCTTGTCTCCTCCTGGTTGCTCTGACAACTTATAATTCAAAATGCAAAATCACCATGCAGAATCCTATCTTCAAGTCTGGACCCAACGCTACTCAAGAGCCCCTTTCATGTTCATGAAGTGCATAATTAAGCTTGGAATCTCTCTCTCTACAGAAGTAATACTTGGAGCTCATATCTTGAATATAGTATACACCGATTCGGGCGACTTCTGGTGGAAGTGCGCCCTCATAAGGTGACGCCATAACTGGGGGGCGTCTGACTGCAGCTAGCTAGCTTACATTACAACGGGTATGCTATACCTATACCGAACCTCGCCCAGGCCGGCCAGGGTCGCTGCTCCGCTAGCTAGTAACCGCTCTCGAGCTCTCTGTACTGTCAGCTGGATCGGAGAAGCCCCCCAGTTATAGCGCCGCCACCGGCGGGCAGTTACATAAAACCCCCAAACCGAATCGGTGTATAGCAAAGTTTAACTCCTAACAGACAGACTGAAATATTTGTTGTGTTTGATACACTTTAAAATAAAATCAAAGGCCAAAATCTAACTAAGATAATGAAAATACACTAGAAATTTGACAAAATCTGAAATCAACTTACATGACTATCTTCTTGACAAAGAGGGGGCAGTCCAGGGTGAATGTTTCATATTCTCCACCTTCCCCACACACATTCAGGTGATATTTGGTTTTCTGCAAAATGAAAATGGATGATTTGTGAAAATTGTGACCCATCCAGAGGCCTTGTCCAGGCACTGATGTTCTACATATGGCATTAATGAATCTGAATGATGCATAACTGTGTGTAAAGCCGGGTAGATTTGAATGAAATATGTACATAATGTAATTTGAATCCACAGAATTAATTGTAAAAAGACAAACTACATTCTAACTTTATAATTCATCACAATTATTTCAGATTTATAGCCAATAACTTTTTGCTAAAAATTTGACCTAGATTAGGTATAAAATAAAGAAAAATATCAACAAGAACAACAAATTAATAGCCATGAAAGAACAGGCGTATTTTGTTAATACACCTGAAATAGGCTATCTGTCATGTATTTCTTTTATAAATGTATTTGTATGTTGTGATGATTTTCTAGGGATGTAAAAACAAACAAATACATAGCTCCTTCTGCTATATACATCAAGTGCATTCAACACTATCAGTTGAACGAAAGATCGAAACAAATATTGGTTCTTTACCATGGTTTCCATGTATGGTCGTATTTCTGCAATTGTCTTCCCAAGATGCTTCTCTTTAAGACCTGTAGAGAGAGCAAAGAATAAAAGTGAGCAAAAAATGGAAAATTAGCAGTTTCATTCATTGTGTTTCATCCTCAACTTATGCTATGTTTTAGCATGTGACTAACAATCAAGGAAAACCTGGCATTCATTTCCTTAGAACCATCAGCATATTATATTAGTAGTGGTGGTTATTTTTTCTTCTTCAAAATCAAATGTCAATAAATTATTGACTCTTTTTTTTTCTTTCTTCTTCTTGTTTTCAACGTAATAATTGTTCATAAAACATGTCGTAGCAGCCAACCGCACAAAATATATGTGGAAAAAAGATGAGCTATTTACAATAATTTTTGACCGTTTTTCAATTTTTGTTTGTTAGATCGTGTTGTGAAAAAATAGCTTTCTCCAAAAAAAAGCATTTTACAACTATTGTCTGGTTTTTGTACACTTATCTTACACCAGGGCCCCGTCTTATAAACAGTTGCGATTGCAAATTGATATCAATCGCAACTATGTACATAAGAGACAGGACTGTAAACTTGCAATTGATTGGAGGACTTGAGATTGATTCGGACCAATCACAACTGTTCATAAGAAGGGGCCTTGAATGTTACGAAAATGACTCAAGTCATGATTACCCAATGCAGCTACTTTGATGAGGATGGCATGGACGTTGGCGTGTATCATCTCCTGGAGTAGTTCAGACTGATCTCGTCTCCAAAGATAGGCTAGTGAGATGAGACCAAGCCGCCCACAACTGAAAAATAATTACACACGTATTAAAAGATCAAGGGTGTCTGTCCCGATCATTGATCTCTGTGGTTATTGCAAGTGTGCTATTAAGCTTCTAACCGATTCTTCTATACAAGTCAAGGCTTATCGTTTAGAGTGAAGAATGAAAACACACAATTTTAACTGTAAGTAAATATCAAAATGTGAAACTATTGTGCCCAAAAATAATTTGTGTCATGATAGATTGCTCAGTTTGCTCTCTATCTTATTTTTGCACATATATATTCATGCAAAACCATATGCACCGTGTACAGAAATATATTTTAACCAAGTGATATCAGCAAGTCTGGGGGGTTAAGGTGGTTAAGAATTTATAATAATAATAATGATAATAGGCATTTATATAGCGCTTTCTATCTAGAAATTTCTATCCCGAGGCACACAAATTAATTGTTATCCGGCTTTAGGGTAGCTGCCATTACAGCACTCTAGCTTTTAAAGGAATTAATTCCTGCCAGGTACCCATTTACTTCACCTGGGTTGAGTGTGGCAAATGTAGATTAATGCTTTGCCAAAGGACAATAGAGTTATTCATGCCCTACTGAAGGCACTTACGCACAATTATGGTCTTGGGCAATTCCAAGCGTTTTAAGATTAGGACAGTGTTGATGTTTACATTTAATTTGACACCAAACTTGATATGATCAGACAAAATTTGAAATTGCAGGGTTCATGTCCTGTTTTGATTGGAATTGCCCTCTTGAAAATATGGCATGTCATTTTAATACTAGATTTACTAAACCACACACATCTTTGAGTATGATGAAGAAAGGAGATAGGGTCAAGGCATCAGGTGAAATTATATTATGAAATCATATCATAAAATCATAACAATAACAGTAACGACAATATGAATTAAAAACAAATACCGGTATAATGAAATACCTGTACAAACGGTCATAGGTTTTCAATAAAAAATTGAAAACTTTTTTACAATTCAACCCTCTAAGGATGCCCATAATTAACATTAACATATATGAATATGTATAAGGTTTGTAACAATAGTAATGTGACTTACACATTTTCCACTCTCACTCGCTGATAATTTGATAGAATGGCTCCCACAGAGACTCCCTCGACCTGCATTTCATCCTGTGTTTTGATGGAGAGGGAGACAAGATGTATTTATTTAATTTAAGAGAGTTTTAAGTTTGCTGCGGACTGCTCTCCCTCAAGAGATCTGAATATTAGTGGAAGTGTTTAAAATAATCTTAAAATGAATCTGTTTGATTCAGAAATTTAATTGTTTTCTTCAAATTTTGTATGTTCTGTATTCCTCCTGTTTTTCCTTGTGTATTTAATAATGCAGATGCATTCCTGTGATTTCATCTTTTGCAGAAGTGCACCTTGAGAATTTGATTTTGAGTGGACATGATGCCTTACAAATCTCATACTATCATTATTATTTATCAATAATCTCCATCACACGATGAACATGCAGAAATCATACTTCTAGATTGTATGCTACCCACACTTCTTGGTGACAGAGCAGTTACAACTGCTGCTCCCAAACTGGAATAACCTACTTGCATTTCTTCGCAACCAGCAATCTCTCAATACCTTCAAAAAAAATATCAAAACTTGACTCTCCTGTTAAAAACATAATTGTAAAGATACATTATCATTAATATTATTATTATATCATGCAACTTCAAATATAGACTACAATTATAACACCCCGTCTACTTGCCTTGATTTTCTTGAGGAGCAAAAAGAGGTCCTCCACCTCGTCCCCTTCAGTGGGTTGGTAGTCGCGCCCCTGTTCCCTGGACCCGCCCTTGATGGCTGCCCTGTACAGGGGCAAAGCCATGGCCTGGGAGTAGAGGTCAATGGCATGGTGACCAACCGTCTGGAACATGTAACTGTCCAACTCGTCTAGGCAGAAAGTGAGATGTAAATGTGAGGGGGAAAAATGCACTGTAGATTTGAATATGACACCATAAAGAGAACATGTAATGTATGCTGACTTCGTTGGTGAAATAGGTGAAATATTTATTGGTTACTGTATCATCTTTATCAATAACAATGTTTGGCATTGCATTGGTGAAATACTAGAAGTATTACCGACAAGGTACTCGACAGGGAAAAAATGAGTTGTTACTTTGCACCTATTTGTCACTGTCACCAATTTGATGGTTTGTTTTCAACCGACCGCTAAGAAAGCGTGTGTATGCTTGTAAGGTTATTTAACTAGGTGTCCACCTCTGAAAGGGAATTGAGATGACACATAATCTACTTGTCAACGCAAATAATTGAAGCATCATTAGGTTTCAACAAAACAGTCTGTCTGAAGAAGAGTAGTTGCTGTATCTCTAATTTTTATTTCTTCTCATTTATTTTTACTTTATATTTATTTTAAATTTAATTTTAGGATTTGCCAGCCACAGCAAGGAAGAGATTAAAGACTCACCAACTTCCTGTGGATAGAGGTTAGCTAGGGCGACCAGGTCATGACCTTCAGCGACACACTGCATCATGTTGAAGCAGCTGTCCTTCCCTCCGCTGGGTGAGGAGAGGAAGAAATTTTGTAAGTTATGCAAGGCGAAATATTGTATTTTAATAAACTGAAATGCTTAGAATTGCTTTACCAATTAAAAAAAAACACATCATGTATGACTCGAATTGCCAATCCAGCCAGTTAAGCAAGCCAGAAGAGATGTGCTGCAGCACGCCGATGCTCGCCAGTTGCTAGTGTGATGTTTTTTTAATTTCTATTGTAACAGTTTCTATTGCCATTGGTACATTTTGCACCAGTTTACATTTAATTTTCATTTGATGGCTTTACATTTTGCTTTCCATACTCTAGTTTTACACGATTTAGAAGATTTTTAGCCTTCTTCTTCCAGTTCAAGCGTTGGGTAAGTTTTTTTTAAAGAACAGTTCATAGATAGGTTTGAATTTGACCCACATCTTCTAACACAAGGCAGTTGGCAGCGTATTATTTCTATATTAGTAAATACTGTCAAATACATTGATTGAAACATTAAATTTGAAGTCTACTTTCGTGATTCATTCCATCACAGGCATTGGTTTCCTCATCCCCACTCCATATACTCTGCACATGATTTGTGTGTGACGGAATGAAGCATACCCGGTGTGAATTATATAAGTCATTAGCTCCCTAATTTCTGACCAATCCGGATTGATCAATGTTTTCTTGTTTGATTAATTGCCATCTTGACTTGACACTTATCCTTGACTTTTAAGTTTTAGTTTTACCTAATATGTGTATCAAACGTTTATTAAAGACAGGTATTCCATTTGACATATCATATCATTAGGCCTAATAAAATGAAATGAAATCCATATAAACAAAATTGAACACATTGCAATGCTTTTTGCAATTTGCAAGAACATAACCAAGTGATTGGACACTACCTGAAAATGAACGTATGGGACTGCATAAGGATTTAGCAGACCTCGGTCTCCAGATCCAGGCAATTCTCTACGCGATCTAATCTTCAAAAATCTTAAATGAAAGAACCATTTACCTGACTAATGCTACAACTTTCATCTTCTCCTTCTCAATTTACGTCAGCCAGATCAGATCTACGAGTAGGCCTAGACAATATTTTCGTTATAATTTAGAATTTGACGTGAAAATAAAATAACGTGTGAACTATATTGCGGTGTCTTCGAATATCTAAAGCAAAATGAAAAATCAGAATCCATTTCCAAACGAAAACAAATAAAAATGCTTAGGCCTAGAGCACCCTCAAAGCACAATAAACAAAAAATCATAATCTTATTTCGTCTACCGTTTACAAAAAAAAGGGACTGATGGAGGAATGGAGTGGATTCAGTCAAAAATAATTTATTTTTCCAAAAAATTATTTCATGTAAAATGGCATATTTGTGTGAAGGTGCATTGTGCATGATGAAACTAAAATTAAAATGGAAATTTGATTCCAGTTTCGTTAGTATAAGAATATACACCTTTGAATGTATTCTGGTAATTTTTACTCATCCTATTTGTTAATAAACAAAAAACTTCTTTAGTTATGTTATTGTGAGGGAATGAGAAATAGCTCTTTCTTTATAATGCAAATAAGTCAGGGACAAAAGGAATGTACCTAAGGAGGAGTGATATGCCCCAGTGAACATACACTCACTGTATGCAGGTTAAAGCTCATACATGCAGTGAGCAGAGATGGGACTGGCTGTAGCTGTGCCTACATGTATTCTTGATGTTTATAGTTGATTTTGGACACCTTAATATGTGAGTACAGTATATAACTAACTCTCTATTAAGATTTGCTGAGGTGCTTAATTGGATAGATTATGATTTGTGTGAAGAAGAGGGAGATTTAACTTTAATTTACATGAAGGATGCATGCTGGTAGTAATTAGGTATGCATATTAATGCTAGAAAGGCGTGGTAGGACATTGCTTTTTGGTAAGCCTTGTATTGTGATTATAGTTGGAGTATGTTTCTATATTGCTTAAGGCTGATAAAATGATTATGATAGCTCACTCATTTGGAGATTGTGTTATACATATGTGAAAGTAATAAATAGAGAGTGGCCTTCATGAATAATTGCAGATCTATTTACTACATGAATTTCATAGGCTGAGGTAAACTCAATACATATATACAATGTACATGTATGAACTAAATTGCATACTGTATAATATGGAAGATAATCTGGAAAGCAGGTGTAGCAAGTAATTATTTGTGATCATAATGATGCAATACTTACTGAAGTGACTTCATGCAGTCAAGGGTCTTCTACCCTCTTTTGTTTGATTTGATTATCATGAAATAAAGATTGGCCTCATACCCAATAAAACCGCAACAACTGCTTCGTCTGATTTATGACTTTCGAGTCGATACCCTCACATTATGTTGCTTTTGTTTACCTCGTTTTTTATAATGCGTCCTTTTTTAGGGCCTCCAGGGAAAACAATATTTGCAACTACTGATGGAGCCACCCTACTAAAACAAAACTAATACATATTGATATTTCGTCATAGCTAACGCCATTGGTACTACTCTTTTTAATTGATCACACTTGCATCAGTCCAACAGGAAGCCCTCTGTTACTCATCGAGGCAGAGGCGGCACTCCGGGTGGGGGGGGGGGGGCATCCCACTTTTTCGAGTGCCCCCAAAAGTGCCCCTTTTCTTTGCAATAAGTGTCCATTTTCACTTCTGATAAGTGCGGCCCTCTTCACCTCTGACAATTGCCCCTATTCAAATCTGAGAAGTGCCAGTTTTACTTTGACAAGTGTCCATTTTCCTTTGTGATAAGTGCTCATTTTTAATCTCTGATGGGTTCCCCCTTTCACCTCTGGAAAGAGCCCCTTTTATTTGTCCTTTCTAATCGGTGCCCTTTTTCATTTTTTGTATAAGAACCTCTCCTTTTTCATAAATGCCCCCCTTTAACCTCTGATCAATGAACCTATTAAAATCTTATAGATGCCACTTTTCCTTCGACAAATACCCCGTTTCCATTCTTATTAGTGCCCTTTCCCCCCGTTTCCATCTCTGGTGCTAGAAGTGCCCCATTTTCACCTTTGATAATTGCCCCTTTTTACTTTTACACTTGCTCCTTTTCTTTTTCTTAAGTGTCCTTTTCCTTTCTGATAAATGCCCTTTTCTTTCTTTCTCTATAACATGTGCCCCTAATTTAAACCAACTAAGCAACTTTAATTGCTTTCCGCCAAAGCTCGCTCGCTCCCATTTATAGTTCATAATTATGATCATGTCACTCTTAAAGTCTTTTCAGTCTTTTGTGATTAGATTGTGCTTAAAACCCCATCAGGATTATTTATTTCCTCTTTATAAGATGTAATTTTTGCCCTGCGACCTCACAAATCTTAAATTTTGTGATCACTCGCTACACTCGCTCGCAAATGAATATTCAGACCATCGCACCCAACTTCAAAATATTATACAGTATGTAATAATAATAATAATACTCAGTTTTTATATAGCACTTATTAGAATCACTAAGCGCTTCCAAACTTGGAGATTATTACCCCGGGCATATACCAATATCTAAAAAGTAGTATACTTTCGCTTTGAGATTTCTCTTTGTGTTGTAGGTGTCCCAGTTTTGCCAGAAAGTGCTTCTTTTTGTAATCACTACCCCCCCCCTTAATTTCACTCTTAAAAATACCTAGTCAGATTTTGATCAGATTTTCTAGTCACATTTTTTGACTATAGATTTTAGTCATTATGACTAGAAATCTATCCATTTTCAAACAAGTTTGACTAGTAATCTAATCCATTATCGTTCGTGACTAGTTTTTTCGGTTAAAAATTACTAGAAACGAGTAAGTGCCCCTGGGATCCTTTATTCTAGTCAGATTTGACTAGTTTCTAGTCAAATCTGACTAGACATTTTTAAGAGTGTTGGAAGACACTTTCCTCCCCTGATTTAATTTATCTCTTACGAATAATTGTAATTCAATATAAAGAATGCGAATTGCATACATTAGTTGTTGCCAGGTAGGACAAACATTATGCCCTACCTTTTTCTTTTCTGACTGTTGAAATACAATTATTCACTACAGGTGAATTAAAATATATTTGTATCAAGCCACTTCACCAAAACGTAAGTAATTTATATTGTTACATTGCGATAATGATCTATCAAACATTTTTTTAATAAATATTATTCAAATTATTTTTGTACATGTTTACATGCACAGCGAGAAGCTACTTCATTAATGTAAATTGCATACATTGGTTGTTGCTAGGTCGGAAAACATTATTGCATGCCCTACCCGACACCACGTATGCAATGTGCATTCTGACTTTTGAAAATTAATACAACTGTTTATAACGCGTGAATGAAAATAACTGAAAAAGGCACTAGACAAAGACAATATGACGAAAATGGTCCTTGCCATTGAACGAAATGCCGGGATTCCGAAGAGAATTTGTTTTTGACAACATCAACAAAGGTTTTTCAGAGGTTACATAAAGTTTGTTATCAAAGACAATACATTTAACATATGACGAAAATGGTCCTTGCCATTGAACGAAATGCCGGGATTCCGAAGAGAATTTGTTTATGACAACATCAAAAATTTTTTTTCAGAGGTTACATAAAGTTTGTTATCAATAAAAAAAAAAGCTAAATTTCAGTGGCGAATTCGCTCTTAGCCATTGAACGAAATGCCGGGATTCCGAAGAGAATTTGTTTATGACAACATCAAAAAAGTTTTTTTCAGAGGTTACATAAAGTTTGTTATCAATAACAAATGCTAAATTTCAGTGGCGAACTTGCTCTCAGCCAATCAAATGCCACGATTTCAATAGCTTCTTACATGTATTGTATGTGATGTTGTTATAGAATAAAAGTTTGATGAAACACGGCCTCGATTTTCCGGTATGTTTGGAGGACAGGAAAGGGAGTGTAAACCTTGATATAATCAGGGAGGTGTATATATTCCTGATATAATATAATTGTTATGACAGCTGTGCAGGAGGGTGTATTGTATCAAGCTGAAAGTGCGGCTTCGATTCCTTCTTAGGGGAGGGCAAAAAATGTTTTGCGTAATCATAAAAAAGGGATTGTGGAAGTGTCGTGGTGTAGCGGTTCATTCACTTGACTCTCAATCCAAGGCTCGAGAGCTCAAAACCGAGGCAGTAAATACTTCTTTTCTTACAAAAAACTCTTCTGTAGGAAGAATGATTGTGCCTTTAAAAAAATTATATTATGTAAATAGAAGTAGCCACATTTCAATTGTTCCCTTATCTATCCCTCTCTCTCTCTATATCTCTCTCTCTCTCTCTCTCTTTTTGTCTTCAGAAGCAAGTCAATTTTTATCAGTTTTTGTAATCTTTTGCCACTGAATTCCTGTTTTTCGCCTGTTAATTTTATCATAATTATGTTGCTGTCACTGTAATCATAAAATAGCTGCATGCATTCCAAGAGCACACTTACGCTGCAGGCTGCAGCTCTTCTGCATTTGCTATTTTGCTCTATATTTATGCCAATCGTTCCCGACATTTTGTTTCATAAATTGTGTTATTTATTTGAAAAATAATTACCACTATGTACAAAATGTTAATATGGGTATACTGATCATTAATGTATGAACAATGCAGAAATCAACAAATCAAATCAAATATAGCCCGGCGCTGACGTCCTTTGGTGAGACATTAATCCACGTTTGCCACTCTCCACCCAGATGCGAATGAGGACCTGGCAACGGCTGGGATAATAATAATTGCATGCAGGCGCCCTCAGGAAGAACAGCGTTGATGCTGATGAGGTTTACCTGGGTAAACATACATTATTATTATCATCATTATATTACATTTTGAAGAAAAGAATATTACATTTATAATCTTAAATAATAATAATAATAGTGGGTTCTTGTGTACAGTATAGCGCTCATGTCTGTCAAGTCACTCCTGGCGCTCCACATTATTGCCCCAGCTTTAGCATGGTTGCCATTATGGCGCTCTATCATAATAGGAATGAATTCCTGCCAGGTATACCCACTTACATCACCAGTGGCGTAGACAGGTTCGTACACCTGGGGGGATGACTCAGGGGCGGATCTAGCTTTTTGCTAAGGGGGGGATTGACCAATAATGACGATGCAGAGCATCGTCCACGAGCCGCGAAGCGGCGAGCCGATTTTTTTTTGGGGTGTTTATTTTAACCCCGTAAGTGATGTTTTCCTGGCATCTATTAACACAATGGAGACCATAAAAAGCAGTGCATGATAACGTCTTTTTAAATCAAGTAACAGTTAAATACACAGTTATATCCAGAGTTATCATGTGTTGAATATCTTCTCACAATATTTGCACTTGAAAGGGTTTCTCTCCAGCGTGCGTTCTTTTTTCTTTCTTTTTTTCTTTTTTTTCTTCTTTTTTTTCCTTTTTTTTTTGTTTGTTTTTTTGGGCCGCCCAAGGGGGGGGGGGTTAAACCCCCTAACCCCCCCCCCCCGTAGATCCGCACCTGTTTAATCTTGTGGTTATCTTGTGGTTTCCAAACCACAAGATAACCACAAAATACTTGTAAGATTTTCTTTTTTTTTACCGTCTGAATTGGCTTTCACCGTGTGAATGCGGCTAATAATAAACACAATTACAATAATGATGAGGATTATTATCATCATCATCATCATAAGTATTATTATTATTAATATTATAATTGTTATCATTATTATTATTACTATTATTATCATCATTATGACTTATTAAGTAAGCAAATATCATTCCCCAAAACCTGGGGGGGATGATTGTACATGCCATCCCCCTCATCCCCCCCCCCCCCCCGTTGTCTACGCCCCTGTACATCACCTGTGTCGAGTGTTGCTAATGTAGTTTAATGTCTTGTCAAAAGACATTAGAGACTTTTAGATTTGCGTGGACTGATACGTGTGACGTCCATTCAAGGCAGTGCATTAAAAGGACTTCAATCGTAGCAATCCCCATTGTCTTCGTGCGAATCTAAAAGTCCCTATTAGTGCCGCTGCGGGACTCGAACCGCACTCTGGAGACGTATCCACTCGACCACGACACCTCTATAATTATATACGACCTTGATAATCTGTAGGATGATTGTTATCTGTTTTTGAGAGAAAAATGAGACCATGAGGACGTCCTTTCCTTCTTCCGCGGTAATCATAAACATCCTGGAACATTGATATACTTCCTCTTCAATACCAACATCACGCGAGGCGAGAGTTATATTGAGAGAGAAAGAGAATGGTCAGAGCACCGACGGACCTGGTAAGAGGGAGAAAAATCGAGTGAGAGAGCGAGAGAGAGAGAGAGAGAGAGAGAGAGATCAGGCCTGAGAGAGATAGAGAGAAGGATGCTATATAGTTCGATATTGTCCTCTAAGTATACAGAGACAATGTTAGAACTTGACCGAGTAACTTCGCTCTTAGATTAAACAGATTACTTGGGTATACCTTTTTGAAGAACTGGGATCACAACAGAAGTGAAGACTGTTTGCATCTAACGCACCTTTGTCTTACATAATTGTAAGTATAACACATAACTATCTTTTTTTCCCTTTATAGTGACTCGGTAACATTGTTGAAGGTTGATGACAAACCTGTAATTTTTGTATGAAATGTTTCTTATTATATTCCTTCCACTGTAGCTACCCACTGGCAGGCAAAAAATCTTGAGAAATTCTCAACCACAAAGATATTTATGGTTTTCTTTGAAGGCGTCACTGTGCAACACCCTCAATCAGTGATTAACAGTAAATTCTCCCAACCATTTAAAATTTTTCCCAACCATATTTCTTTGAAAATAAGACAGGCTTTTAAAAGTATTTCAACACTTAAATGTCTGGAATGGTATATAGAGCCAATTCATCGCATTGTGGTGATTTACATTCACCTTAAAATGTAATTTAATAATTGTAATAATATAGTTGGGAGAATCAAGAAATCGATTAGATCATTTTTTTCAATTAATATCGTTATAATGCATGGTCCGTTTTCACTCGAACTTTCAGATTATCTGTAATTGTACATCTAGCATTGAAATCATTACCTTAGCACCATTTTCTCTCATCTGAACAATGTTACCAAGTCCCTTTAAGACCCAGAGAGCTATTTGCATGATACAGAAATCATAATTTTCCCCGGAAATTTGCATCTTCTTTAAGAATTTGATTAGTAACTTATAGATCCAAATTAAGATGAAAAAGAAAAAAAAAAAACAATGGCGGAAGCTTATTGGTGAAGTTATTCGCATTACCTAAACTCATTATATAAATTATCTGAACAAGTTTTTTGAAGTTTGAAACATATCGTCGAAGATTTGTTTCAGTTGGTCGTTGATTGATTTCTGGTTCTGTATACGAAAGAAGCTCTCATGCAAATTGCATTCATAATTATATAATTATATAATATGTTCATATAGCATTGAGAGAATTCCTAACACTATTCCTTTTCATTTTCAACTTTTATACTTGATGAAAAGAAATTACAGTGACAATATCAGATTACTCAAGCTAATTTTTATTATTTCTTAATGATTTCATTAATTTTCTAGCCTTGATTTTGTTAACCTTTCAGTACTCCATTGGGACCGTACTAAAATACACTGTTGTGGCCAACCGTCAAAGAAAGCTATTTCTATATTCGTGGAGTGTGGAAAGACTATTTTTCTTTTCTTTTCAGAATAAGCATCAAAGATATCTGTCATGTGAAATTAAAAGTTTATGGATGTTTGTTCATTAATCAATCCTGAAGTACTTGAAAAGAAAAAGGCAAGGTTTTAACCAAAATAACAAAAGCGGACGAAAAGTGGGTTATGACGGAGGATATAGTTTCCGTGCAATGTTTGTCCTTTTTATATATGAGACAAACACTTATAAATGGCCAAAATTGTCCACTCATTTTATTTCATTAACAAACAGTTTTGTGTTCGCGTAGGCGTACGTGTATGTGTGTGTGCGTGCGTGATTGTGCGTGCCTATGTAGCTGGGGTGCGCCGCTTTTCCGATTGCAACGGCGGCGACCTCGTCAACATTTCATTTCTGGTAATGGTTTTAAGTTAAGTTTATTTTGTGAAATTAAATCTGTAATAGAAAATTATAGTTGACTAGTCATCTTCAGTCCGCCTTCAAAAACAATTTAACGTTTAATCAATATAAAGGTTACCGCTATGGCGCTATCCACGCCAGTTTCGTAATAACGTGTTTTCCCTTTGAATTGAGGGATAGATACAAATAATGTTTATAATACTATTACTACTACTACTACTACTACTACTACTACTACTACTTCTAATAATAATAATTATAATAGTGGGTATATATTATTAATACCCGCCTTCACCATGGCTACCATTATGTCGCTTTAAGTATTTCAAGGAATTAATTTCTGTCAGGTACCCGTTTACCTCACCTGAGGAATTGAATAAAATTACACTCATTACATGAATAATTATCTAAAAATTGGTTTATCACCCAAGTTCTTTGACGTTTGAAACATAGCATCGAACATTAGATTTGTTTCAGTTGGTTGTTTTAGAATGCGATAACCTTAAAGGCAGACTTTACTACTTCAGCCAGAAGGGATTAGACCGCCCACCGAGCCAGCGAGGTCACTGTGACAGGTGGCTATCTCATTAACTCAGCTCTCATTTAACATAAGAAAAAGAGGATCATGGGGGACCAACAAGCACCGATTGGGGAAGTTTTCTATATAGAGGGAGCAAGTAGCTACACGTAGGACAGTGTGCCTTTAAAGCCTATCTGCACTCGTTTGGCCAGGAGGGATTAGACCTCCCTGCATTGTCACTGACAGGTGGTTATCTCATCAAACCAGCTCTCAATTAACATAAGAAAAAGGGGACCATGGGGACCAACGGTCATCGATTAGGCATTGTTTGCTATAGAAAAGTAGTGCAGTGGGGCTTTAATGGAGAAATGATTGTTTTCTGGATCTGTACGAAGGAAGCTCTCATGTAAATTGCTTTCATATAACAAAAACACTTCTATCATGTTCATTAGCTATGAAAGAATTCCTAGCACTTTCCTTCTTTTAAAAAAACTTTTATACTGAATTAAAACAAATTACTGTGACGATATCAGTTTACTCATTATGCTAATTTTTATCATTTATTGATTGGGTTTAAGGGACCATACTCAAATGCACTGCTGTGGTCAAAGAAATCTATTGCTATTAGTGGAGTGTGGAGAGACTATTTTTCTGTTCTTTTCAGAATAAGCCTCAAAAATACCCTTTTCACATCTACCAAATATTGCTTAACCCGGGAAATAGGTGGGGCTAAGGGGGCTCTTAGCCCCACCAATTCCTTCCTTAGCCCCACCAATTACCCGGGGTAATTTTAGCCGGCTTTCTGTTCACATTACGTTTTGCCAAAGTGGGCTAACCCCACAAATAGTACGGGACTATCTGGCCCTGCAATACCCTTTTCACATCTATTTTTCTTAACCCCGGACTATCCTTAACCCCATACTATCCTTAACCCCATACTATTTTTTTTGCTGTTCACATCTATTTTCTTAACCCCGGACTATGTGCTTAGCCGGGGTTAAGAAATTTCACGCGATTCACACTACGTTCGCCTTAGCCCCGGACTATTCGATAGCTCATGAATATTAATGCTTTTGCTACCGCGCAAAGCGTTTTCCCTTTATTATTTTACCGATACAAATCAATTACCCATTTTTCATCCAATTCACTTGATAAATTTACCTACGTAAATATGACTGATAATGATAAATGCAATAAAAAATTATGAGCTACATGTTCTTTCACTATTTTTTTAAATCAATTTTATAATAAAGATTTTTTCATAATGACCTCTGCCTCGTAAAAGACTAAACGTCAATACAGAGAGCATGCATAGCGCATGCGTAACGTGAACTGCATGCATGCGTAACGTGAACTGCATGCATAGCGCGCGATAAATGCAAATTCACGACCACACGACCACGCTGTCTGTGATTGGCTGTTGCTTAGCCCCGCTTCTCCTTAGCCCGGTTCGGATTCACACTACGCAGCTTAGCACCACAATTGCCCGGCTAACCCCGCAATTGCCCGGCTGCGCGTTTCCGTTTTACACCCTGCCCTAGGCTTTTCTCCAATAAAATTTTACAAACCGACTGGTATTCGGAGTCTAGTCGTCCACATCTTGCCTCGGCGCTCTGCACACCACCAGAACTCTGAAAACGTCACGTAGCGCTAGCTAACTCTCTATACTAGTTGATCTTCCTAGTCGTATCATTTATTTTTATCCATTAATACGCAATACTCTAAGAGCGTGAGGATGCATGCGTGATCAGCTCGCAAAATTTAGCCCAGCGATAACAAAACAATAATGTATCGGGAAAACCGTCTTGAACAAGAAGACCCTCGCATCCCCAATTGAAATTGTACATAAGATTTGGCTTCGCTATTCTTGACGTCGATATAAACAAACTTAGACTTCGGATACAGCATGTTTCGTGTAATTTCTTGCCGAAAAGCCTAGGGCAGGGTGTAAAACGGAAACGCGCTGCCCGGCTAACCCTGCTATTTTGCAGGGCCAGATAGTCCCGTACTATTTGTGGGGTTAGCCCACTTTGGCAAAACGTAATGTGAACAGAAAGCCGGCTAAAATTACCCCGGGTAATTGGTGGGGCTAAGGAAGGAATTGGTGGGGCTAAGAGCCCCCTTAGCCCCACCTATTTCCGGGGTTAAGCAATATTTGGTAGATGTGAAAAGGGTATAGCAGGGTTAGCCGGGCAATTGCGGGGTTAGCCGGGCAATTGTGGTGCTAAGCTGCGTAGTGTGAATCCGAACCGGGCGAAGGAGAAGCGGGGCTAAGCAACAGCCAATCACAGACAGCGTGGTCGTGTGGTCGTGAATTTGCATTTATCGCGCACTATGCATGCAGTTCACGTTACGCATGCATGCAGTTCACGTTACGCATGCGCGGTAGCAAAAGTATTAATATTCATGAGCTATCGAATAGTCCGGGGCTAAGGCGAACGTAGTGTGAATCGCGTGAAATTTCTTAACCCCGGCTAAGCACATAGTCCGGGGTTAAGAAAATAGATGTGAACAGCAAAAAAAATAGTATGGGGTTAAGGATAGTATGGGGTTAAGGATAGTCCGGGGTTAAGAAAAATAGATGTGAAAAGGGTAAAAGATATCTGTCATGTGAAAATGAAAGCTTATCGATGGTTGTTCATTAATCCATCCTGAGGTACTTGAAACGACAAAATTAATGCAAAGTTTCAACTAAAATTTGAAAAAGCGAACGATAAGTGGTTTATTACAGAGGATGTAATTCCTCTGCTATGTTTGTCTTATATAAGAGACATTATACTTATAAATGGCCAAAACTGTCCACTCATTTTTTTTCTTCATTAACAAACAGTTTTGTGTTCGTGTAGGCGTGCGTGAATGTGTGTGCGTGCGTGTGTGCGTGAGTGTGTATTATGATTGTGTGTGGCCTGTGTAGCGGGAGTGCGCCGCTTTAACGGCGGCAAAGCGGCGACGCGACGTCGTCAACATTTAATTTCTGATAATGGTTTTTAAGTTAAGACTATTTATTTCGTGAAATTAAATCTGTGATAGAAACAAAGAATGATAATAATATTGCGACTAATAATAATAACGATACTAATAATAATCATAGTGGGTAATATATCGCGCTCATGTCTGTCAGACTTGACACTCCTGGTGATCGACAATATTATTAATACCCGTCTTCAGCATGGCTGCCTTTATGTCGCTCTAAAGTATTTCAAGGGATCAATTCCTGCCAGGTACCCATTTACCTCACCTGGGTCGAGTGTGGCACATATAGATCAATGTCTTGTCAAATTCGACATTAGTGCCGCGGCGAGACTCGAACCGCGAACCATGTAAACCATAGTCCTGTGATGTATTCCTAGACGACGACACCTCTACGTGCTCATCAATGTGTAGTTTAAAAGTTAACAAAATTATCGATTTCAGTCAGAATGAAGACTCACAGATGGCCCTAATCGTAACCACGTGATTATGTGATATAATGATAATACAAGTGCACGATGACCACTACAATTTATAGGAAACATAATAGAGGTGAAGGGCGATGAGATTTATGTAAGGGATGGAGTGCAGAGTACATGGTGACCTCCGCACACACCCACACCCACACACTTTCTCTTTCTCTCTTCCCACGCCATCATTCAAGTTATTGCTGGCAAATGGTGACCGTTTGATAGCCCTTGTTGCGTTTCCTTTTATTAATTATTTCCTGTAGGCAATTAACAAAATCTGTAGTAAAGATTTTTTACGGAATGCCCCTGGAATTTTGTTATCAGCTAGAGAACATCAGAGTAAGTAGAGATAGTCAAAATCCTTTGTCCCTTTATGGAATGCATCGCAAATTGGGAAGACGACCCCATGGAAAAGTACATTCAAGTCGTTACGGTCTAATTTAATTTTTTACTCTCATTTGCTAGGGAAATCATGAAGATCTTCTTTCAAATCAAGAGTTTTTGCGCACGTGACATAAAAAACATTTCAATTTTGAATTAAAATTTGGACCATGTCTTTTGACGAGTAAGATGAAGGTTTTAAGACCAAACACACATACTATTTATAAATTGATTATCAAATTTTCATTGTGGCGGACAGACGTACTTATTTTTCAAAAAAAACAAAAAAACAAAAAAAAGTGTCATCAAAATTTTGTTGCGATTAAACAAATTTCTTAAAAAAACTCGAAATTTGCCGACGAAATTTTAAAGGGGGTTGTGGAACACGTCACCCAACACCCTTTCAGAAACACCACAGAGTATATTCTTCTTCAAGAATCCTAATACTTGAAGGAGGGCATCTTCCAGACTCTACTCTGCTTGCCATCGATTGTGCGCTCACCTTTACATGACATCACTTTTCCAAATTTTTCGACAGAATTCCTTCCTTTTTCAATAAGCATAGAAAACAAAGAACGGGGAGGGAGTGGCATAGTAATTTTGAAAGGAAATTCAGATGAACCAATATGATCCTTTAAAGACGTTCCTGCTTTTTTTCTTTTCCATGAAATTCCACAAATTTCGAAATGGGCCATTTTTCACATCGTCTTGTGATTGTCATCAACTTTGGTGATCATCTTTGCCTATAACATCAGTTTTCCATTTTTTCTGACTGATGTTCACATATTTTCTAAAACGTAGCGCAAAAGAGGGGAGGGGGTACACTTTGCCAACAGCATATCAGATGGTCCACACTTCACACAGTCATGAACACCTCCCCGAAAGACCCCCTGTGTATTTTTTTTTCTTCCAGGAAATTCTGAAGTTACATGATGAATCTCCTCCGCACGTCCCTGTTCTTGTCATCCATCTTGGCGGCGACTGTTGCCTATACCTTGCCAGGACCAGGAACCACATGGAACATGACCGATGTCTTGCTAGGAAGATGCGTGGAGTACCGTCAATGCCTCCACGGGGGTCTCTGTTTCCCTTATTAGTAAGTCGGATGCTCTGAATTTTGCCGTGTTTTAAGCGATTATGATGATGATAATGGCGGCGATGATAGTTATTATAATGATAATTAGACGATTATGATTATTATTTCAATTACGGTAAGTCACAAATTTCGTTTTGATATTAACAATAAATTAAAAAAATAATGAATATTAACTGTGATCAATGACAAGGCTCTATATAACAGAATGTCCCTAAGGGCTCACTCTGTATTATGAAGAATGATTATACTTTTCACTATCTCATTTTCTATTTCATGTGCACTGTAGTGGCGATGTCAACTGTGATGCTGCAGTTGATTCATTTCTAGGAGCATTTCGGGGGATGGATCCATGTTCTGCCTCTTACTATGCCTATGATGACTTTTTTAACATGGTCCCTCCTAACACCAAACCCGGAACGGTAGGTATACAGTTCTCAGGCTCGTAGGGGATTGGGTTCCGCTATAAATTGATGCAGACACTTTCCCTTTGTGATGTCGAGGTGTACCTATTCATTCCAAAATTCACTGACAAGCAAAACATAATAAGTCGTATACGCTTTAGGCAGCATTTTCACTAAAATTATCATATTACCATTTTTATGGGTGTCTTTTTTTTGGGGGGGGTGGGGGTCACTTGAACCCCCTAGAAGTCAATTGTTCCCTTATTTAGCCCTTGTTTAGACTGGTTCCCGCGACTTGTACAAACTGGTTCAGACTGCATGATTCACTATTACAAAATGACGACAATAATGATTCCATTGATAAATGGGGAAATTTTATTGAATTTTCTCTCTCTCTCTCCTCTACAGACAATTTTTTGGACCGGTGTCAGTGGTGCCTACATACCCCATGACGTTGCCGAGGTGAGCCAGGAGTACATTGTCCTAGGAGAGACCTTTCCCGGATACATGGCTTTGAACTTGTCCTTCTGCGGCTCAACTGATCCCAACGAACCGTCTGGATTCAACTACACAGTCTGTCCCACCGAAGACACTGACCGCGCTGGGTGCAGCAATAACACATTTGCGACCTTCTGGGATCGTGTTTCCGAGCTGGTAGGTCTATCTTTAACTATGGTCTGTTTTGGTCTATAAAAGGTATAGAACTTGTGGATAAAGGATCTGGTATACGGTATAGGTCTGGGACCAATTAGGGCGTCAAGGATCTATTAAGACTAAGGTCTAGTAGTTCTATGGTCTAGTAGGTTTGATGTCCTGTAGTACTTGGAAGATTAAGTATCTAGTCTGCTTGGGACCATGCAGGTAAGATCAAGATCTGGTCACAAGTTTCGTCTTATTCGTTTACCATCGGTGTTCTGGTTCCCTCGTCTATACATTTATCTGATCCTGCATAATTATAAAGGAATTACCCTCGAGGATGATTACCCCCAGACAAATACCCTCTGTAGGACAGTAAACCCTATAGGCCTATAGTATCTCCATAGATTTACTACTCTCAGTCTCAAAGACAACTACCCATTGGACGATCACCTCGAACACAACTCCGGAGTCGCGATGGCTCAGTGGTAGAGCAGAGGTCTCGTAACCGGTAGGTCTCGGTTTCAAGACCAAGTCGATGCGCTATAGTGCCTTAGGAGAAGACTTTAAAGCAGTCGATATCCTAAATACACAAGCACACAAGGCTTTCTCAGAAGTCATGTAAAACAAACGAACCAACAGATAAGACACCATTTTGCATCATTAGTACCTTTACTTTTATTATTAGTGTATGCGATTCCATGCCTTTCCGTCTGTATCGCGTGTTTTAATGACAAATTGAGATACCAATTTCCTTTATTTTTCATTACTTCTTTTTGGTGTAATTATACAAATATCAATATTGTCCCTTAAATTTTATTTGAATGAAGGTGCAATTTAAAATTGTTTGCTCACTTTTTCCCATCCAGTTTACAAGACAAGCAACAGGTGAAGTTCACCTTGTTTTGAATGCACAACGAGATCGAGGAGCGTACCACCTCGAAAGGTAAGGAGCGTTCCTCTCCATAATCAATCAACATACTTGATCTTCAAGAATGGGACACAATAATTAGAATAAATTTACCATGGGTGGCCAACATGCTGAAATATAAACGAACAAAAAGAAGTATTTTTTTTACCTGTTTTGTTACTGTTTTTAAAACCTGTTGATATGGAATTATCTCCCCAAACATAAGTGATAAAGCAAAATTGTTTTCTCAAACTGTATATTCTCTGTATGAAATAATACAGTGTCGCTTGAAGTTCCAATCCAAAGTGAATTTTATTTTCTTCCAGTCGTATTTTTTAGTATCCAATTTTCTATGTTTTTAAATGCATAATAGTTTTATGATACAAGGAAAAAGACATAGTTTTCCGGAGTAAACAAGGATACATGCATTAGACTATACCCATTTAGGGTTACCCGACTTATGCTTTTTCTAATTTGATTGCGCAAGCATTATCCCTTTATCACGATTTTTGCGCTTTCCTCATGCTATTCTAGTCATGTACCCTGTAAAATGTTGAAGGAGATAAAATACTAGAAGAAATGTTTATTTTTTAAAAATTGAATTGAATAGGGCAACATGCAAAATATTTCAACAAAAAAATTAGATACGAGAGGAAATAATTATCAGGCTAGTTACAATGCGATTAACAAAAACAGTATATCTTTTCAAAATGAACGAATTTTTGTTCACTTTTCCTCAAATTTTCATCAAACTGATTCCTTGATTTTTCTTTCACATCTCCACACACTACCACCCACATTTCTGACTTATCCTCATTAAACTTTGTTAACGAGGATAAATTTATCCTAATTCAGCTGTTAAATGAAGATAAATTTATCCTAATTTCGCTGTTAAATGAAGATAAATTTATACTCATTTAGCTGTTAAATAAAGATAAATTTATCCTCATTTAGCTGTTAAATGAAGATAAATTTATCTTCGTTAACAGAGCTAAATGAAGATAAATTTATCTTCGTTTAACAGCTAAATGAGGATAAATTTATCTTTGAAAGTGACTATCAGATGAACTAAAATTAACACGATCGAAAATATTTCTGACAAATCAGCTCCATGCCTTTTTAATAGGAAACCCGCAAGGCTATTGAAATTAAATAGTAATGGTGATCTGTGGACGATCAGCCCTGATCTAATTATAAATAGACGTAGTTGGGCATTACAGATCATTGAAGTAACATTGACCGGATTCACCGGAATGGCAATTTACAGTTCTTTCCGGTAGATTCGGTGGCGGAACCAGGCTTTTCATTGGGGGGGGGGGGGAGGTCCGATATAATTATGACAAGCATAAGGAAACAGGGGGTATATAATTATGAACAAGATTGTGCACTTGTTCATTTTTTTTTTCTTTTTTAAATTAAATTAAATTTGTTTTCAGCTCTGAATACATAATAAAATAGGTACAAGATATATATTAGGGGGTCCCTTGTGATGCAGAAGTACAGCTAAGATAAGAGAAGAATTATGGGTATAGAGACTGAAGAGTAATTGGGAGAGAGTGAGAGGGGGGTAGGGAGGGGTGAAGTGAGCAGGAATTACATATGATTGCACATATCGTTGCTAAGCAGCAGTGGCGTAGACAGGTTTGTACACCTGGGGGATGACTCAGGGGCGGATCTAGCTTTTTGCTAAGGGGGGGGGTTGACCAAAATAATGACGATGCGGAGCATCGTCCACGAGCCGCGAAGCGGCGAGCCGATTTTTTTTGGGGTGTTTATTTGAACCCCGTAAGTGATGTTTTCCTGGCATCTATTAACACAATGGAGACCATAAAAAGCAGTGCATGATAACGTCTTTTTAAATCAAGTAACAGTTAAATACACAGTTATATCCAGAGTTATCATGTGTTTGGTTAAGTTACCAGATGAGTTGAATATCTTCTCACAATATTTGCACTTGAAAGGGTTTCTCTCCAGCGTGCGTTCTTTTTTCTTTCTTTTTTTCTTTTTTTTTTTTTTTTTTTTTTTTTTTTTTTTTTTTTTTTTGGGCCGCCCAAGGGGGGGGGGGGTTTAAACCCCTAAACCCCCCCCCCGTAGATCCGCGCCTGTTTAATCTTGTGGTTATCTTGTGGTTTCCAAACCACAAGATAACCACAAAATACTTGTAAGATTTTCTTTTTTTTTACCGTCTGAATTGGCTTTCACCGTGTGAATGCGGCTAATAACAATAAACACAATTACAATAATGATGAGGATTATTATTATCATCATCATAATTATTATTATTATTAATATTATAATTGTTATCATTATTATTAATACTATTATTATCATCATTATGACTTATTAAGTAAGCAAATATCATTCCCCAAAACCTGGGGGGATGATTGTACATGCCATCCCCCTCATCCCCCCCGTTGTCTACGCCCCTGCTAAGCAGACATAAGCATTCATGATTCAAACAGTATATTGGGAGAGCAGCATTCTTTTCAGCATTCTCTGAGTGAATATTCATTTGACCAGAAGGCAGGGACTCATTCCATATGACCTGGCCACTATAATTGATTCATATACCGTAGTAGTTTTACTTTTAGGATTGGATATGTGAAATTTATTTTGTTCTCTTTTGTCTACTTACATTGTGCTATAGACAATATCCGCCGATATATTTTATTCCTAATCAATTTTATATAATTTTGTGTTTCTTATAACAGTACATTCGCCCGCGTAGAAGTACCTGCACTCGATCCTACCAAGGTCACTAATGTTGCGATCTATCTTATCCCGGATTTCACGCTACCGACCCCAAATGATAAGTAGGTAGACTTTCCGTCGTCGGATTAAGGTCATGATGCTAGTCAGGCACGTAGCCACGGAGGTGGGGGGGGGGGGGAGGGGCACGGGAGCACATGCCCCCCCCCTAAATTTCCAAGATCGGTTGAACTTTTTTTTTAGACCCCTTTTTTTACCTCGATCGATTACATGTATCTGCCCCCCCCCCCCCCCAACATCAAACTCTGGCTACGTGCCTGATGCTAGTCACTGGCGTTTCCTGCTTGGGGTTTAAGCAGGTGTAGCCATAGTAAAATGAAAATGAACATTATGAACGTATCCTTTACAGATTTCTTTGACAATATTAGTTTTGAGAAAGCAACAAGGTTTTAACTTGTTTTTTTATCAGTTTGTATCCATCGTTAAAATATTATGAATGCTATGGTTAATGCATCATTCTTTGGCACAACAATTTCGTAGGCCTATCCCCCTCCCAAAACTCATGTTCACTTTGTAGCACCCCATGTGTCCGTATTCACTTTGTATTACCATGAACCATGGTATTACTGAGCATGGTTCGGGCCGGCGTTCAATTTCCACGAAGAGAAAGACTGTTCCTTGTAAAATGTCATTGTTTTACATACTCTATTTACAAATATATTAATTCATTAATTTCCATTTACTGTTATAATATCACTTGATTATGTATACATTATGCATATTAAAAAACGTATATACATCATTGTTAAACAATAATCCTAATCAATATTTATTTTTCTTCATATAGGGTTCGGGAGACGTGTTCTAATGGTACTGTGGCATCACTGAGGGGAGTCTTAACGGACCTGGGTCTCAGCAACACTTGTGAGGAAGATCCAGAGTAAGATAACATTTGTTATTTTAAAAGATTTGATGGTGCTTGTTGACAACATGATTTTTCAGTTATTTTCACTCTTAAAAGGGAACAATAGTAAAACGTGCACAAATACAAGTTATAAACACGTACACAATGCACATAAGTGAAAAAAGGGAAAACTCATTACATTGAGATTGAAGAAGCCAACAAAGACCAGAGATATGTTGAAGTGTAGCTCCTCGCTTTATAGTTAAAGGGAAAGTCCACCCCAAAAATAAGTTTGTTTCGATAGAGGCAGAATAATAAGAAAATCAGGTGAGTGAAAGTTTGAGCAAATTCTGAATGAAAATAAGAAAGTTATGAATTATTGAAGTTGTGATCAATCAAATACAAATTGGCAACTCTGTGACTTATCATACGAGCTCTCCTTCATTTGCTTTGTGCATAATATTCCATAAAATCATGTTTTCTTCGTTATTGATGACGGAATATATATTTGTTCCTTGCAGGGGAGTATAGAAACATATTTGCAATTATTATATTTAGGGTGCATGTATGGTTGAAATTTTTCTTGAGGGAAAATGAAAATTTTAGATTTTTTTAGTACTGAGTAAATGGAAGTTGAGCTCGCATGATACGTCATAGAGTTGCCAATTTGTCTTTGATTGATCACAACTTCAAAAATCCTAACTTCCTTATTTTTAATCGGAATTTGCTCAAACTTTCACTGACTTGTTTCTCTCATTTTTCTACTCCTATTAAAACTAACTTAATTTCAGGGTGGACTTTCCCTTTAAATTATACGCTTCTTAATAAAATTAGAAAGGGGAAATAAGAAAGAAAGAAAAGAGGTAAATATGAAATGTATTTATACGTAGCTTGTGAGTAAATATATTATTTCAGGAATTTTGTTTAAAAAAAAAATTAATTTAGAAACAGATTACAGTTAGAGCAACGACAATAATGATAATAATTATTAGTGATAATAGTACTAGAATCGATAAAGATAATTGTTACATTAATGAAATATATAACAATAATAGTGATGATGATGATGATGATAGTAATAACAATGGTTATAGTATTGATCATAACAATAATTATAATATAGTAATAATTTGACATTGTAAGGCTGACGGAGAGGCAAGAATATAATTCATATAACAAATTTCTTTGAATTGTAAACATGAAGCAGAAACAGAAGGAATTTATCTTTATCCTGAGTATAAAATGGGGCGAATGTATACCCCCTCCCTACTCTCTTTATCTTAATTATCCATTTGTAACATTGTCATGCTCTTCTATAATAATTTTCTGCACTTTATCTTTTCTCATCTTGTCAGTGACATTATGTGGCTCCAGTGTGCTCGATATCCAGATAGCCCGTACTGTATCCCATACAGCAGGCAGGAACCAAACACCGGCGGGGGCACCGGGGGCTCATCGGCCATTGCGGCCGCATCAATGACGGTCCTGTTCCTTCAAGTAGTTTCCACTCTCTTGCTAAGTGGTTGCAAAATTGATTGACTGGTTGAAATCTACATATTTTTTTCTTTTAATTGACAATATAGGAAACTATAGACGGATAAACAAATGGACCTGTACAGTATATTAAAAAATATTAATAAAAAAGCAAGAGGTGAAAACCCGGAAAGCTCTAATATGTTCTCAAGAAGCATAATTCGGGACAAGTCAATTGTTCACGTATACTTGGAAAATTACGAAAATTGGTAAGGGTATGAATAATTTTATTTTTTAACTGTATACAAAAAAAAACACACACAAAACAAATGTTTATTCTAAAATAAGGTTTTAACAGGAGAATGGATAATAAAGCAATGATGGTCCGTTACTACAGAGAAATAAAAATGTGAAATATGGGGAACCTATTAGTATTAAAAAGCAAAATGTGTATGTTATAGGTTCCCGAATAAGATCCAAATATTATAAATAAATTCGATAGCAATAAAGAAAGACGTAATGAAAGTTTTAGCCAATGACACATTATCATTAATATGAATAAAATGTAAACAAAGAAGAAGTGTTTAAATATTACACATATTATAGCCGTTTATAGAACGTTTATGTACATCCCGACTTGGAATGACTCTGTGTAAAATCAGTACAAATAGATGACCAAGAATTCGTACAGACCCATTGTCAAGAGTATATACCTGTAGATGAACGTCATATTATATTTAAAAATGATTAATATGTAGCCTTAGCGAGTATCATAAATTGTATACATTTATTATAGATATAATGTATACTGCATGTGTAGAAGGTATACATTCGATCTCTCGATTTCCTTATCTCAGTAGTTTAGTATTACCATTATCATTACATATTAGCTAATAGTATATGAACTTACACACTTTAGAATATTGATTTTGTTTATTATGCTAGTCTATAGGAAGTCTGTACAAGCACTAATTTCAGTAAAGCTCATGTTTAGGTTTATTCGCAATTTATATGCGACATATATAATTTCTTAGCTTTATTAGAAATTTAGTTAGTTTTCAGTGGTTTTGTAACATTTTTATGAATGATCATGTTGTAATTAAATTTCTGAAATCGAATTTGAAACATTACCTCTATACTGTCATTTGTTGATATCGGCGATACATATATTTTTTAAATCATCGTCATAATCATTTTTTCATTGCCCAGGAGAAATAACGTGTTCTTCTCAAAAGCATGCATCCTTAATTCCTTGAATTATGTGAAAGACTTTCGATTACAAATCGGAAATGTGTGATACAATGCTTTTTTTCGGTTTTTATGTTGTTTACTTCAGATTTCTGCCGACTTATTTGGAGTTTTTGGTTAGAGATTGGGGCGCTTTAGTAACGAGACGGAAGGCAAAGAGGACGGGAGAATTCACTCAACCGAGATCAAATAATGTATGCAGATCGGATTCTGTCTATTGAAATACTACTATTCTTAGCAGGTGAATGAAATAATTTGTATTGAGGCACTTCACAAAGACTTATGCATTAAATTTGGTTACATTACGAAAATGACGGAAGGCAAAGACGAGGGTAACTGAGCAAAATAATCAATCTGCGCAAGTGCGAACCAGAATTATCTCCGTCTTGTTGATTTTCACGACCTGTCTCAGCCATAATAGCGATCGTTCCCTAAACTCGACGGAAGAGTTGTATCGCCGTACAATATACCATTATCGTAATGTAACCAAATTAAATGCATAAGTCTCTGTGAAGTGCCTCAAGACAAATTATTTCATTCACCTGATAAGAATAATAGTATTTCAATAGACAGAATCCGAACTGCATACATTATTTGATCTCGGTTGAGTGAATTCTCCCGTCTTCTTTGTCTTCCGTCTCGTTACTAAAGCGCCCTACTATCGTCATGTGGAGGAGACGTCTGTATTTTTTGGTTTGCGAGATCATCCTCCAAATTCTGTAATAATATGTGATAAACAGATGAACGTATTGACAAAAAAGCGACCATGAGCAAGAATGACGTATTCCTCACAAATACATGACATGGGTAATGATACATATCATAGTGAAAATATCGTAAAGGTTTAAATGTAATTCGTAATTCATTTTGAAACTAATAATCAAAGAAATGTAATATTCGTTGTATTCATGACCTGCCAAACCTGACACTTTTTTCTCTAAATCCTCGAAAACTTGGTTCTCTCTTCTTTCGGCATCGCCAATTTCTTTCCTATACAGTACATATCCAGTCTGTTTGAAAGATCGTCATTGTCAAATCCTTTTTTTTTTAAGTTAGAAATTCTGCTTGCAAAAGAGAACATAAAAACATTGCGTAATGCTCTGGTTTCTATATATGCCACATTTTTTAGCAATTATTAATATTTTCTTCCCATCATGATATGAACTTTTAAAAAAGAAACCTAGGTGAATTCTCATATTGGAGATAGAAGAAGCAACGTAATGTAGAACCAAGTGGATTAATTTATATCTCCATAATCCTATATAATTAGAACTGTAAATGACTTAAAATTAAAAACGATTTTCTCTTCAATGTGTTATTTTGTAATGATATTTTTAGAATTGTTTGAGGAAAAAGGTATCTTGCCTTGACCTTTACATTCAGAGTATGGTTGTTCTGGTTGGTTTCATTCAGTTCTTCCTGAAGACTCGAAACAACTTCACCATATAGTTTCCTCGTATCGCGGAAGTAAATCCGGCAGGATATAAGAATTTAGTTGTAATCAGAGCCTCTCTGAATCTCATTCACGTGACTTTCATTTTGAACAGAACATCAAAAAATCAATTTGTCATTCTGCACGCCCATGCAGTACCACGTCTCAACCAAATTAGATATTTTATTGAAGAATTATGCATATACAAAAAGTAGACACTGTAAAGTAAGTCGTGAAGGCTTATGAGACTTTAAATTCGTGTTTAATGTATAGGCTTCGAGCAACGCATCACTGATCTCTACGGAAAAACGCATACAAGAAGTTCATATGAGCGCATGCGCAAACGCATGGCTTACTGAGTGACGTAACAATGTAACTTTTGGCCAATGAGAGTGCGTATGATGGTGCCACGTGATTTTGAGAGTTACGTCACAAAGGATTTCCTTCGTATTTCCAGAAAGTGCCCTTTTTGTTGATGGCCCACTATGAAATACGCTCCGCCGCTCCTGCTTTGGCCAGAAAATTCAGATTTCCAAAGCGGCACAATAAAAGTTCCGTCCGCCTTATCATGCTCTATTTTATCTATGGTTCTGGCCAGGCACGTACGCAGGGGGGGAGGGGTGGGGGGGGGGGAGGGGGAGGGGGAGGGGGGAGGGGGAGGGAGGGAGGGAGGGGGGAGGGGGGGGTAAACCCTCCCTTGAGTTTTTTTTTATGTGTACGTTTTTCGAGAAAACCTAGATTCGCAAACAATTTGATGGCAACATTTCACATAATGTGAAAGAGGATGTCATTTAAAAGTATTAAGGCACTTCCGCAAAGATTTCCCTTAAAAAAATGTTGATAAAAGAATACGTAGATTGGTTTTCTGTTGTACACAGAATACCTAGATTTTGTATTCTTTCGTCAATATTCGACTTCAAACACCTTTGTTTTGAAAATCCTTAATTGCAGATATAGATCTATGTCTTTAATGACGTCCTCTATAACATTGTGATATGAATTTAATTGGGGCTCCCAATACTTTGGAGGGACTTTAACAACATCCAGTTGTAAGGAAATACCAGACCTGCTGAATCACACATCAAACGAAAATTAAATGGCTTAATTATTCACAAATCACAATCCTCCATGGGCTCATTCAAACCTTTTTTCAACACAATACCCATTTCTTTTTGGTAATTGGTCAAGCTTTGGCCTGAACCCTGGGACGCGTACGCGTAATTATTTCTTTCGCGCTCATTCGTTCCATCATAAATTTAAACGATACTCATCTCCACACGTGCACGCGATCGATCGAGCAGTGACAGCTAGCTCAGTTTAATACGGCTGCAAAATTTTCGACACGTCGTAGCGAAGTTGTATTTTGACCAATAATTTTCTAAAAAAAGGACCATTCTACACATTATACAGTCATGCTGGTAAGTGGAACCGATGTATTTTGGCCTAGGCCTAGCTAGTATTATCGGAGATAAAGAGAGATACCGTATAAATGCATCGGATATGCATCCGCTAAAATTAGATTTCAATGTGAACTTGAAGTTGAAGTGAAGTTGAAGTTGAAATGAAGTGAAGTTGAACTTGAATTTTGAAGGGGAGACCAAACTCCAAAGTTCGCGGATATTTTGACAAAATTTCTAAATGTGATATTAGATCTTTTACTTAGTCTATGATTTCTCATATTCTACACAAATGTATTTATTTTAATTAGATCTAGAGTCTACTTGTCTAGGTCTAGACCTAGGTCTAGGCCCAGACCTATATTACGAAATGGACGGCAAAGTCTTTTAGATCTAGGCCCCTAGACCTCTAGATCTAGACAAATTGGTTAAACTAGAAAATTTATCGTCAAAGTTTTCCGGAGATATCGCGATCTAAATAGATCCAAGTTAGAGTCTAGGCTTAGGCTAGGCTATTCGATTTCGGATCGGCGTACGTGCGCGCTGCAACTGTACCGGTACTAAAAAAAGTCATGAAACAACGAGACCTTACTTCGCGCACGGGGGTTTAGACTAACTTAGATCTAGGCCTATAGTATAGGGTGGTATTCCGATAGCACGTAGATCTAGAGGAGACTGGGTTCAATCAAGAACATGCGCCACTGAGGGTGATTAGTGGCAGCAAGAGGTCACCTTCAATCGTTTCTTGCCGATCAGCCACTACCACCCTCCTGGCCTGTGGGTCTGCCCAAGGCACCTCCCTTCCACCCTACCTGATCTTCAAGGGAAAGAACTTCTCAACGGAATTATCGGAGGGCAGTCTACCAGGCAGCCGCTTCAAGATGACCGACAGTGGATGGAGTAACGGTGTTGTGTTCAGGGACTTCCTGAGGCTGAGCAAGCACTTTATTCCATCCCTGCCAGATCGAGACCCAGAGCAATTAAGGGTTCTGCTCCTCTATGACTATGATGGTCATAAGAGCCACATCACCGTCCCCCTCATAGAGGAAGCACGACGGAACAATATCATCCTCTTCCTTCTGCCACCTCACACGAGCCACATTCTCCAGCCTCTGGATGTCGGGTGCTTTGGCCCAATGAAGGCACATTTTAACAGACAGTGTACGGACTTCCTAGCTGGACATCCAGGACGTTCCATCACCAGGTACGACCTTTGCGGGCTGATAAGCCATTCGTACCTACAATTGATGAGGAGGGGGAATCTGGAGGGAGCCTTCAGGAAGTCTGGAGTATGCCCCTTCAATCCAGAGGCTATCGATGTCATCAGAATGACAAGACCTAGTACGGTGACAAACTGTGAAGGGCACCCGGCACCTCAACCATCTAGTAGCAACGTTGAAGCTCTCCTAGCGAGCAAAGCACCATCCCCTCCGACAAAAAAAACAAACAAGAGGAAGCGACGTGCTGCACCCGAGTATGAAGCTGGCGGAGTAGCCCTTACGGAGAATGGAATTTTTTTAACAATTTTCCATTCAGCAACCGCGCAGACATCCGTTGAAAGACCTACACGTGATCACGTCAATGCCCAGGATAATGGGAATGATGGGGAGAAATGTTGTCAGTGCAACCTCGACGATCCTCCTACAGACTCAGAGAATGCCAGCACTAACATCATGTGGCCGGAATGTGAATCCTGCCAGCACTAACATCATGTGGGCGGAATGTGAATCCTGCCAGCACTGGGTCCACCTTGGACGCTGTGCAGGAAAGGAGGTAGCGGATGATGACTTCTTCCGTTGCCCATGCTGTTTGACTGAACCTTAAGCAATCCATTTTTCTATTTTTGTTACAATGTTAGTATAATCCCCTGGACCATTTCTTAATGTTGATCTTTCAACATGCACACACATAATCGTAAGAGATATATCAGGGAATAATTTTCCTCAAATTTTTTGATTAGCAATTTCAGCCGATGGATAAATATTTCAAATGAAATTCTGTACATTTCTATGGAAGAAAACTGCTACACAAAAGATATTTTGTATAGC